TGGTTATGGTTTGCAATATTTAAAATATTAAAGTTATGTGTTAAATGATTGAGACAAAAAAAAAAGTTGCAGTAATGAAGCTTTGAAACCAGACGTTTAGAAGGCCCTGAAGCGCAACTCTGGGTAGTTTTCTGCTGTTTAAAGCTTCCTTTCTAGGCGTTTAAAGTCTCTTCAAGCATAGCCCTGGGAGGTTTCTTGCTGATTTAAGCATACACAGTAGACGTTTAGAGTTTCTTTAAGCTGGGAGGTTTCTGGCTACACTAAGCGTAGACATTAGACGTTTAAGGTCTCATAAAGCATACCCCTGGGTAGTTTCGGACTTTTTTAAGCTTGCATAATAGACGTTTAGATTTTCTCTAAGCCTAACACTGGGAAGTTTTTAACTGCTCTAAGCTTCTAAACTGGACGTTTAATATCTCTTTAAGCATGCTACTGGGAGTTACCTTGTCTTTCAATATTTGACCTTGTACGTTCATCTTAATTGTGAATTACTTACCAGCTGAATATAATATTTTTATTAACAGGTATGATCAAGAACAATCATTGTGTAAGAGTAATGTGGATCACACGGTACCCCCATTCACATACTTGAGAAATCGCGCATCACTCCATTGTTTGAATTTGTTGTTTAAGTCATTGGAACTTGTGACAAAAGATTGGGGTGACGATACGCCTAATTTGTGTCAACATAAAATGCGAACGACTCATGGTATGCCATGCCCTTGTGAGATTTACCAAGCACTCCAGAACAATACATTCTTTGAACCGCATCACCTACATCAGTTTTGGACAACTCTACGAATCAATTCAGAAGTCAAAGTTCGTCACGAAGAAGGGTCGATAGATTTGCAACATTTTGATAGTCTTGTTGCTGTTGTTAGGTCCAAAGATGACGAATATATTCGAAGGGTAAATGCTTTGCTTGATCCTCATGTCTACCCGGGTCAGGGAGAATATGGAGAACCGGATGTAAATGAATCACGTAGAGGTCGACCTGTGAGTAGAGCCTCTACGAGTCGTAACTTGTCTTCGTGGGAGATAAGTTGTCTCGACATCCCTCAAGGGGTTAAGAGTTCATCACATAGTTTCTCTCGTGGTCGTAGTTCTTC